GTGCTCTGCCTACCACGGATATCGAAACCCGGTTTCTAGCGTTGTAAGTCCGCAGACAATCCGCTGTGCCACTGGGAGGGTCATATGACATTTGGAGAGCAAGGAATATAATACCCTGTTACGCTCACAACTTCAATTAAGGCATGTATCTAACAAAGGTTATTTTCTATCTAGAGTATTTTGCCAATGATAATTGAGCCGATTCAGCATGATTCTGATAACGCTAGGCTGGTACAAGATTTAGGAGCTGTTGTGCTCAGACAGCATCTGTCATATGGTATCTCGGATATTCCTGTCGTGAGGAAAATTACCTTAAAAAACAGCATCCACCCTGCAGGCCTACATCCTGCAGCAGAAGTTATAGATGACACCTCTGATTACTCGGACTGTGTAAGTTGATGTAACATGTATAACCCTGTTGAAATTGGTAACAATGTCGAACTTCTGTTTATGACAAGATAAATGCGGGATTGCGACAACGTGCATTGTATTTACTTTCTATTAGATGAATCGAACAAATTCAGTTAAAACTCTAGAAATCCAGTTGTTAGCTCTTTACCTCTCGTATACTCCTAAGATCCTAACATTTATTTAGCACAAAACGAGCTTTAACCTATTCGAATCATTGTTCATCCTGGCCTGTTCATTCATTGTTATCAACGGCCTGGCATGGCCTAGACTCGCAATCACCGTCACCGAACATGCTCGCTCTTTCAGCCCTTGGGGCGTTATATAGTCACGATCAATCTCACTATTCGTTGGGAAAAGAGTAGTCCAAGAGATGGCGATGGGTGGTGTTGACTAGCTGCTTTCTTTCTAGTCTATCACTGCTAAATTAAGGACGGCTAGCACAGAAAGCCCTCGTGTAGCTTTGAGCGAAATTCAGAGAAACCAAATTTACTTTAAATTCAAAGAGCATTCCTGAAAGAGAGCCTTATCAATTGTTCTAAACCTGATAGAAAATTGTTTTATTATGTTATTTATAACATCATTTGTAGTTAACGTGGGTGGTCCTTCTCTTTCATTATGAAGAAAGTGAGCTTATAAAAGTAATAAGTCACTTTTAACTTATTAATCAGAAGCTAGAAACAAAAAAAGAAAAAATCATACAATGATGTTTTATATCTATTCAATAAAATACGTTTTTGTATAAAAAATTCAAGTAAAATAAAACCGATAACCAAATTTATCACAATATACTGACCGTACTCCACCAGAACTCACGACACAGTGGCCGGCTGTTATCACGTGCCTGCTGGTGACTAATGAACCACCACACCGTTGTATTTTGTCTCTATAGAGGGCAGCCTTGAGAATACCAAAATAATAATAAGTGTATTACTAGCGTTGACTATTCCCTCTAATAGCAACTTTATCTAAAAATGTTTATTTGTTTTGGATAATTAGAATATCTTTAAATCATACTATAAACTGTTTTTACCGTAACGAACTGGAATCAGTTTAACCTGCAATAAGAGATAATTTCATTATAATATATATATATATATATATTACTGGTGATAATTACTGGCATAAAGTCGTTAATAATACTAAGGAATGATGTTGAATTAAAAACAGATACATCACAAAATAGAAAGCCGACAACTTGGGGACTGTCGAACGACCTATTTATACACAATTCACTGGTAAAGAGCGAAGACTTATAACCTTCATTAATAATTTCACATCATATAATATGTAAGATATATGTATTTATTAAACTCAATTTGTCGTAGTCTCAGTAAAAATTTGATCTATTATGTACAGGAAGCGCTTTTCAAACCCTCTTTTTAGTCTGTAGTCTTACTATTTAGCCTTTACGTAATGTTTACGGGTGCCCGTAATGTTTATCCGCAGATTCATGGTTTGAATCCCGTTCCATAAAAACTCGCTCCACACTTTGCAATTGTAGGCGTAATATAAGAGAGGCGGTCAAATCCACTATTCATTAAACCAAGAGTGGCCAAAGAGTTGGCAGTTGGTGCTGTTGACTAGCTGCCTTTCTATTGTCTACCATTCAGAATTCTGAATCACTAAGCGGAAATAGCTTTGAGCGAAAATTCGTAAACAAATCTATTTCTTTTAATCTATTTTATGACGTGGAAATATCTCTTCACGACTTCAGTGGTGCAACTTCTATGACTTATTTTTCATAGCTTCACAAGTGGACCTTTGTTCTCTGGTCTAATACTAAGGAAAACTTATAGTGTCCTATCTCATCTATAAAAATCCAGTCAGACCAGCATATATATTTTCATAAAGTTAAATATCAGTAACAAATCCCATCACTTCAGTTTTCAGTACTTACTGGAAATTACTCACTACTTTGTCATTATACTCGAACTTTCTATGATAGTACTTAATGTAGCGTATCTTTAGTAGTCCATGTTCAATGTAAAACAGAGGGTTGAGTACGTTGTAGTAAAACGATTTAGAGTATGCATAACAGTAAGTCACGCAACAAACTTATTTCGTCGATTTCACTTCAAATTTGTTAGCAATTCAGGTTTAAAGTCGTCATAATAATATTAGAAAATGACCTATAAAATATTTTTACTTAATAAATTGTTATAGTTCAAATCTCAGGGTATACATACGAAACAAAGAGGACTCACTTAAAATGCATCGTTGAGAAAACACAAGATCGACATAATCCTTCATAAGTTGTATTTGACAATTTTCGTAAATTCCCTTGTTACCCTTGAAAATAGATTATAGACTACAACTTTGGGTTTGTTTAGTAAGAAGATTTTGAATGTGCAAACAAGCAAGTCACATGATAGCCACAGCAAGTATAAAGTCGAGATGGAAGATATGTATCACTCCTTCAACTGTACATAGTTTTGTTTTACATGAATAATGTAATGCCTCCGAAAGTTTATAGTTTTTGAGACAGAATTATATAAAAGCCCTTTCCAACACAAAATATACATAATAAAGCAATCAGTGCGGGAATTTTTGGATTTACAGGAAGGGGATGTCCCTTTTACTAATGGCATTGGAAAATAATGGAATATGGATCAACTTGAGGCACCAGGATCGTGCAGAAAGAGATCTGCTGCAAATCGTACTCCAGCTGTGGTAAACAAAATAGGGCGTCTTATAGCAGGTGAGAATCAGTGAACACAAAAATCAGAAGGAAAAGCCGTCTACATTTCCCCGGCTACAATATGCAACATAATCAAGAAAGATCTCCATCCTTAGACAGGACCAACAAGGGATGTGTTCATCAAAATAATATTTCTAGTCATACCTCCTGTTAAACTGTTTCACACCTCAAACAGCTGAAGAACAAAATGAGTATTCACTCTATTTCATACGAAGATATACCAACCAAATCACCAGACTTAGAGACTATAAATTTTTCTCTAATAAGGCTGATGAAACTGTAAAAGAGAAACGGTCGTCCTCGTACAATAGATTGATTATGTGATAAACTTCTACAATATAATCTTTATATCTTTCATAAAACTAATATGGTAATCAACGTATGAAAATATTTATAAGTAAAAATTTATAAAAACTGCTTTGTACTCTTGTTTTGTAACATAAACATGAACTGTAGTTAAAATAATAAAAGTGAGTTACTAATGGTGGAATTTAGTTGTAGAATGGTTGTAAATTGCAATAGTTATAAACTGGTATAAGATACCACAACTTATGGTGATCTCAGAGAAGAAAGTTAATAACATTATATGCACTATTAAATGGTTTAATGGAAAATATACTGATCAGCCATAATTATCTGCGTATTGTTTGTTTTTTTGTTGTTGTTGTTTTTTTTTGCTGTGACTTCATACGTTAGATTGTAAATTGAATTGTATTTTGTAATTGTTGGTGGTTATAAAAAATGATATAATTGTTTGTAACCAGTGTTTTTTCTCTAAAGAATTGTTAATATGTATGAAAACAACCAGATAGATTACGTGCATTTATTATTATTTCTAAGACCTTAGATTTAAAGATTATCGAGTTTCATCTCTGTAAACCTGGTTAATAAGACTTTGGTTTAATAATATTTCTAATAACAAAAACTCAAGAACAACAAATGTATATTTAAAACGTTCGTTAAATTAAACTTCCTTTATGTTTAAAATTTAATAAAGAAGATGTTGATTTCCTAATGTTTTATAATTATTCGATGTTCAGAAAGAATTGGTTTAAATATAATTTACACTTACATATCTCTATAAGTTGAATAATTAAAGTCTATAGTACTAAACCCTAAGAATGAATTGATAAAATGGACTCTCATTATTTACCCATAACGACGCTAAAAATTGGGTTTCGATACTAGTGGTGTACACATCATAAATAACCCATTATATAGCTTTGTGCTTAAGATAAACAAATATTATCTAATTCACCGACTTACAATCCAAGGCCAAGATCCAACGAAAGACTCGTGCCCACCAATGATTTTTCTAAGTGGAACTGTTTGCCATCCACATCCTAATGTAAATAAAAAATG